TGAGTCAGCTTTCAGCTTAATTTTTTTGTTCTTGGCAGAGTTAATTGGGGTCCCAATGAGTTTTTATTTTCCTTTCCCATCATCTTGCTCTCTCTTGAATCACTTGTTTTGGGGAGAGCCAGCTGCCACATTGTGAGGACACTCAAGCAGCCCTATAGAGAGACCCGTGTGGTGAGGAGCTGAGAAATCTCCCACTTTCAGCCTCTTGAATAGCTGGGACTACAGGTATACGCCACTATCCCCAGTTAATTTTTGTTTGTTTTTGTTTGAGACGAAATCTTGCTCTGTCCCCCAGGCTGGAGTGCAGTGGAGGGATCTCGGCTCCCTGAAACCTCCACCTCCTGGGTTGAAGCGATTCTCCTGCCTCAGCCTCCTGAGTAGCTGGGATTACAGAGGCACGCCACCACACCCGGCTAATTTTTGTATTTTTAGTAGAGATGGGGTTTCACCATGTTGGCCAGGCTGGTCTTGAACCCCTGGCTTCAAGTGATCTGCCCTCGCTTAACCTCCCAGGGTGCTGGGATTATAGGTATGAGCCTCCACACCTTATTAGATTTTTTTTTTTAGACGAAGTCTCGGTCTTGTCACCCAGGCTGGAGTGTAATGGCGCGATCTCTGCTCACTGCAACCTCGGCCTCCCAGGTTCAAGCAATTCTCCTGCCTCAGCCTCCTCAGTAGCTGGGACTTCAGGTGCACGCCGCCATGCCTGGCTAATTTTTTGTATTTTTATTAGAGACGGGGTTTCACCATGTTGGCCAGGATGGCCTTGATCTCCTGACGTCATGATCCACCCGCCTCGGCCTCCCAAAGTGCTGGGATTACAGGCGTGAGCCACTGCGCCTGGTCACGGTTCCTCTTTGGTAATCTGCTGCGCTCTGTTGCGATGCCTCTGCCCTGTTCTGCCTGGACTGCCACTCCCTCCCTTCCCTCGCCTTTCTAATGGCTTCTTCAAAAACTAGATTCACTATTCACATACAGACATTCCCACCACCTCAAGGAAGGTGGGGTGTCACTGCCAAAGTGAAAGAGAGGCTATACCACTTGCCATTAAGAAAGAGGCACACCAGCCTGGGCAACACATAGCAAAATCTGTCTCTACAAAAAATAAAAAATCAGCTGGGTGTGGTAGCGTGTACCTGTACTCCCACCTACTCGGGAGGCTGAAGCAGGAGGATTGCTTGAACCCAGGAGGACAAGGCTGCAGTGAGCCGTGTTTGTGCCACTGCACTCCAGCCTGGGCAACAGAGTGAGACCTTGCCTCAAAAAAAAAAAAAAAGAAGAGGCACACTATTTGGTGTCATTGGATTTTGGAGGCAACACACACCCCACGCTAATGAGCTACTCTGACCCAACTGACCAGAGACTGCCAGTTCTGAGCAACTGACTCGGCAACAGTCCATGCTTTGGTACAAGCTGCTCTGGCACTTTGGCTGACGGTACTCGAAAAGTCTTTGGCAAATAGCCAGGTGGTGGCTCACGCCTGTAATCCCAGCACTGTGGGAGGTCAAGGCAGGCGGATCACCTGAGGTCAGGAGTTCAAGACCAGCCTGTCCAACTTGGCGAAATCTCGTCTCTACTAAAAATATAAAAATTAGCTGGTGCAGTGGCAGCTGCCTATAATCCCAGCTACTCCAGAGGCTGAGCCGGGAGAATCATTTGAACCTGGGAGGTGGAGGTTGCAGTGAGCCGAGATGGCACCCCTTCACTCCAGCCTGGGTGACAGAGCGAGACTCTGTCTCAAACAAAAAAGAAGAAAAAGGTCTTTGGCAAATAGACTTGGAGCCCCCAAAAGCCAAGATAAGAGAATCACACACAGACCCCCAGGGTCGAAGGTCAGTCGGGCCATCTTCAGCCAATTGTTTTAGCTTCCCATTGAATACCTGATCATGGAACATCTTCAAAACTTCGTTCACCTCTTTCTTTTAGGGACCTTCCCATAGGTAACTACATCCTACACTCTGTGGCCTCAACTGTTTTGGACTGAATGTGTGCTTTATTAAACAGGACTTGTAGCCATTTGCCTTGCTAAGTGATCCACCTGTGTTGACTTTGTCTCCCAACTAGTGTGTGATATTGAGCAAGTTAACTAACATCTTGAAACTGAAGAATAAGCCAGGCACAGTGAAGCAGGCCCATAGTCCCAGCTACTCCAGGGGACAAGGTGGAAGAATTGTGGGACCCCATGTCTATGAAAATAATAATATAATGATAAAAGTGTTGGGCTGGGTGCAGTGGCTCACACCTGTAATCCTAGCACTTTGGGAGGCTGATGCAGAAAGATGGTTTGAGCCCAGGACTTCAAGACCAGCCTGGGCAACATAGTGAGACCCTCATCTCTACAAAAAAAAAAAAAAAATCAAAAATTAGCCAGGTGTGGCACGTGCCACCTGTACTCCCAGCTACTCAGAAGGCTGAGGTGGGAGGATCGCATGACCCCAGGAGGTTGAGGCTGCAGTGAGCCATGATCATGCTACTGCACTCTAGCCTGGGTGACAGAGTGAGACTCTGTCTAAAAAAAAAGGTTAAAAAAATAGGTAAATAAGCTGGGCATGGTGGCTCACGCCTGTAAAAGGCCGAGGCGGGCGGATCACAAAGTCAGGAGTTTGAGACCAGCCTAGCCAACATGGTGAAACCCCATCTCTACTAAAAATACAAAAATTACCTGGGCATGGTGGTGCCCACCTATGTAATCCCAGCTACTCAAGAAGCTGAGGCAGGAGAATTGCTTGAACCCAGGAGGTGAAGGTTGCACTGAGCCAAGATCGTGCCACTGCACTCCAGCTTGGGTGACAGAGTGAGACTCTGTCTAAAATAAATAAATAAATAATTTTAAAAATAGGTAAATAAATAAAAATAAAGCCGTTAGAAAGGTTTCTGGAGACCGGACACAGTGGTTTATGCCCGTAACCTCAGCACGTTGGGAGGCCGAGGCTGATGGATCATCTGAGGTCAGGAGTTTGAGACCAGCCTGGGCAACGTGGTGAAACCCTGTCTTGACTGAAAATACAAAAACTAGCCGTGTGTAGAGACAAATGCCTAAAATTCCAGCTACTCAGGAGGCTGAAGCACGAGAACCCAGGAGGCAGAGGTTGCAAAGAGCCGAGATCGCACCACTGCACTCCAGCCTGGGCAACAGAGAGGGACTCCATCTCAAAAATATTAAATTAAATTAAAAAAAGAAGGGTGCCTGGAACATAGTCAACAGTCAGTACATTTACACTGCTATTGCTCTTATTATGGCTGACGGGAGAGTGTTGCAGAAAAAGTGGGGATTAAGTGAGAGACCTCCGGAGAAATAAGGAGGCGATGAGTGTTTGCAGGTGCTCCTGCAGAAGGGCGCCATGGATTTGCTTCGACCCAGAGCGCCGCTGGACTCTCCTCACTGCAGATGGAACCACACTGCCCGGGCAGAGGGAGGCAGCCCTCAGAACCGTGCCATGGATGCTAGGCCACAGGGTCGTGCCCATCCTTGGGTGAGGAAACCGATCTTCTGCACATGCTTCCCCAGGTGTTTAAAACTCCCTGTCTGGAAGAAGAATCAGAGAACGCTTTAGACAGGTTGTGCTATGGCTGGAAATAGAAATGCCGGGATCTCTCCTTTCAAGTTTTCCACACATGTTAATTTCCTTTTGCTGAAAGGAAAAATACTTGATTCTAATTTATTTGTAGGCCTGAAATGAGATTTTTCCTCAATTGGAAGATGTGACGTGCCGTGTACTCTAAATGAGAGAAGGGTTGGGAAAATGTAAGCAGGAAACTTTAACTGCAGAAGTAAAAGGAATTACTTAAGCGAAAGCCAATCTGAAAAGGCTGCATACTGTATGATTCCCACTATATGACAGTCTGGAAAAGGCGAGACTATGGAGAAGGGGGAAAAAAAGTCAGCAGCTGCCAGATGTTGTGGGAATGGGGGATGAATAGGTGGAGCAAAGTGGATTTTTAGGGCAGTGAAAATCCTCCTTGTGACACTATCATGGTGGATGTGTGGCGTTATGCATTAGTTCAAATCCACAGAATGTACAAGAGTGAACCCTCATGTCAGCTGCGGCTCCTGGGTGATAAGATTCCCATGCTAGGAGGATGCTGTCGGGAATATGGGGAATCTCTGCGCCTTCCTCTCTATTTTGCTGTGAACCTAAAACTGCTCTAAAAAAAAAAAAAAAAGTCTATTTAAAAAAATAAAAAAGCAAAATGAAAATGCAAGCTTGGTTTTGAGGGCATATTATTTAGAACTCTGCTGCGTGCAAGTAACAGAAGTTTTTAGCTCACTGAGTCTCAGAAGGACGTTATAGGTCATAGGTGCCTCGGGAACCATGATTACAGCTGCTGGGAGGAGGCTGCAGTGAGGTGGAAGGCAGAATCCCGGTGGCCTCTCTCTCCCCAGCTCCCCTGTTTACACAGGATCCTCTCCCGCTTTCCATAGACACTGTTTGCCCTTTCTCTACCCCAATCCTAAATTCCTGGGCCAGGGGACGCTGGTGGCGCAGTGCTTGGGGCAGCTCCCAGCCCCAGCAACTCTGGTCACGGGGGTGGAGGTGCGGGTATGGTTCCATGGAAGTTGCCAGCAGAAATCTCAAGGAAGTGAATGGTGTGTCTTGGGTAGGTCAGGGCGCTTTCAGGGGGGCTTCGTTTTGTAATCGTCGTGCCCTCATCGCCACCCCCGCAGGAATATGGTGTTCGTTCCTGGCTGAATTAGGCCCTGCTTTTTGTGCTTGCTGCTGACGCCCGCTTTCCTTTTGATTTAAGGCCGTTGCAGGGCTCCGCTTTGGAGCGGGCATTGGAGGAATTCTTTGGCCACCAAGCAGCCTCCGTGCGTCTTTCTTATATAACAGAGCCACCGAGAGGCTGTTTGCATTCTGCTTGCTTTCTTTTTTTCCGTTGCAGTAGTTTGTTTATTAATTAGTGTGCAAAAGATAAAAAAGAGGTAATAAGCTTGTTTGTGTGCTAGTCCACGTGCTCTGTGTGCTCATTTTTTCTGCAGCCTGGCATCGGGAACCGGAACGTTTGGCCCCAGGAGAGGAGGCCAGGACCCAGGGTGCCAGAATCTTACCGTGCAGAGGCGACAGGCCAATGCAGTTCGTTCCTTTTCCTCCCTCCCTCTCTTCTCCACGCCATCTCCCTCCCTCACCCTCTCCCTCCTCCCTCCCTCACCACCCCCCGGCCCCCTGGAGAGTTCTGGGCGTCCTTGGAAGGAAAGGAGAGTGGCTTCCAGGTCGGAGAACTAGCGGCCGTCATGGCAAACATCGCTAGGAAGCGGGGAAAGGAGCTATCAGGCGGTTGAAACTTGGGTTCCAGGCGACCTCTGGTGGCGTTCGCGGAGTAAGTGCCGCCCGGCCGCGCCCCTCACCCCTCAGCCGGGGACCCTCAGACACCTCCCGGGCGGGCCACCCCGCTGGGGTCTGCTCTGGCCACTGTCCCACCGCCTCATTTGCCGCGCGCCCCTTCACTTCGGGGGTGCACGCGGGGGCATGTCCGCTTCCACAGTGTGGTGTTGAAATCCGCAAGAATCACAGCCCAGGGGGAACTTGGCGGGGAACCTGGGCAGGATGGATGCAGGGTCTGGCCAAGACAAGCTTCTGGCCCCTCCTGCAGCGCTTTGTAATGGAGGCTGACCCGCCTTTTCCGTAGTCGCAGCTAGGGAGAGCCTTGCCGCCCCTCGCAGCACCCCCACCCCCACCTCCACCGTCCAGCGGCGGCCCTAGCGTCAGTTTACACAGTTACCAACCTGAGTAGCCCCGCAGCGCAGCACCCAGCCAGCAGGAGGGAGGGAGGGCCAAGGTGGCTCCCCCGGGAGGCTGGACGACCTCGTCGTCCCCCACCCCTCGCCACCCCGGACTCGGGGCCTGGGGGCTTCTGCACTGTTGGAATCCTGCCTGTTGGGGGCGCGGGCTGCCTTGAGAGAGGTTTCTGGATGTAGAGTCAGCTGGGCTCCCTCCCTGCCTTCCCCCGCCCCCCACCTCCACAGACATCCAGGAAATGTACAGATTTCTACCGCACTCTGGGGTCAAAATGGGACCCAGCGGGAAAAACATGTATTTCATTTTCCCTATATTACGTAATCATGTAAAGAAAATTAAATACATTTTAAGCTAGGGTGGTGCTTTCTGTAACGGAATGAAAACACCTCCAAGGCTTCAACTTAAAAAGAAAAAAAAGGAAAAGGAGGAAAGCTTTTTTAAAAAGCTAACCTGGTAAATATTTAAAAACAAAAAGCAACATAAAAAGAAAATTAAATACAAGCCATTAGGGAAGTGTGAAATATCAAGCATGTATATAAAATTTTCTAATGAAATCTTTCCAACCCCCTCTTAACTTCTTTTTTACTTATTATTATAATTTCAAACAGACGTAAAAGTAGGTAAGTAGGTAATAAACACCCACCTTCAACAATGACCAACGTAGCCCAGGTGGTACTCACGCCTGTAATCCCAGCACTTTAGGAGGCAGAGGCGGGCCGATCACTTGAGCCCAGGAGTTCAAGACCAGCCTGGACAACACAGTGAGACCGCCATCTCTATAAAACAATTTAAAAAGCAGCTGGACTTGGTGGCAGGTGCCTACTCATGAGGCTCAGGTGGGAGGATCACTTGAGCCCAGGAGGTTGCAGTGAGCTGTGATCTTGCCACTTCAACAAAGCAAGACCATGTCATCAAAAAGAAAAAAAATTTACCAATGTAGGGCCATTTTTTTCACCTATATTTTTCCCACTTGCTCTCCCTCATTATGTATTTTTATTTTTTAATAATAAGATAAATTGAACTTGTGTTTTAATTAGGCTTGGCTGTGTAACAAGCCACCCCAAACTTAGTGGCCCAAAGCAACCATAGTTTACTATTTCTCACCATTCCAGTGATTGGCTGGACCGTTCCTCTGCTAGTTTTGACTGGAGTTCCTTCTAAAATGTCTAAGATGGCCCCTCATCTTCTAATAGGCTAGATGGGCCTCCTTATACGGCACCTCGAGTTTTCTTTTTTTCTTCCATCAACATAACTTTTCTTTCTTCCTTCCTTCCTTCTTCCTTTCTTCCCTTTCTTTTGAGATGGGGTTTCTCCATGTTGGCCAGGTTGGTCTCGAACTACTGACCTCAGGTGATCTGCCTGCCTCAGCCTCCCAAAGTGCTGGGAGTACAGGCGTGAGCCACCGTGCTTGGCCTGTAGCACTCTTTTTTTTTTTTTTGAGTGGAGTCACTCTCTGTCACCCTGCTGGAGTGCAGTGGCGCGATCTTGGTTCACTGTAACCTCCGCCTCAAAGGTTCAAGAGATTCTCCTGCCTCAGCCTCCCAAGTAGCTGGGACTACAGGCGTGTGCCACCACGCCCAGCTAATTTTTGTATTTTTAGTAGAGACAGGGTTTCACCATGTTGGCCAGGATGGTCTCAATCTCTTGACCTTGTGATCCTCCCACCTCGGCTTCCCAAAGTGCTGGGATTACAGGTGTGAGCCACTGCACCCCACCTCAGTACTCTTATATTTGACATTCAAGAAGGAAACAATTGCATTCCCAAACAGCTAAACATGCATGTCTTTAGACTTTTTAAAGTGGAGTCTTTTAAAAAAAAAAAAAAAAACTGTCACATTCTCTGCAAAGCCTATTCATCTCAGCATCCCAAAGATGAAGCACACCTTCTGTGAGCTCTGTAAGAAAGTGACAAATACAGGGCATCACTGCCAGCACAGCTCAGTATGGCTGCTTATAAAATGAGACTTCTGACGCTGGCTGCAGCGTCATTTTCTCACCATCCTCACATGGGAGAGCAGTTGTCTGAGTGATCGCTAAGTCATGCTCACTAAGTCAGTGCAGTAAGAATTGCACTGCTGAAGCTGAGACCAGGACAGCCTCTGCTGGGGCTAGAGCAGGCATGGCAACGAACTCCAAGCTGGGATCTCCATTTGTTTTCTTTTTCTTTTTATTTATTGATTTGTTTTGTTTTGAGACGGAGTCTCGATCTGTCTTGCCCAGGGTGGAGTGCAGTCATGCAATCTCAGCTCACTGCAGCCTCTACCTCCTGGGTTCAAGCGATTCTCCTTCCTCAGCCTCCCAAGTAGCTGGGACTACAGGCGTGCATCATCACGAACAGCTAATTTTGTATTTTTAGTAGAGACAGGGTTTCACCATGTTGGCCAGCCTGGTCTCGAACTCCTGACCTCAGGTGATCTGCCTGCCTCAGCCTCCCGAATTACTGGGATTACAGGCATGAACTACCACACCCAGACTCTTTTTAATTTTTTTTTTTTTTTTTTTGAGACAGAGTCTTGCTCTGTTGCCCAGGCTGGAGTGCAGGGGTGCAATCATGGTTCACTGCAGCCTCGGCCTCCCAGGCTTAAGTGATCCTCCTACCTCAACCTCCCAAGTAGCTGGGTGTACAGGCACATGCCACCACACCCAGCTAACAGAGCTGAGATTCTCCCTGTGTTGCCCAGGCTGGTCTCAAATTCCTGGGCTCAAGTGATCGGCCCTCCTCAGCCTCCCGAAGTGCCGGAATTACAGGGGTGCGCCACGACACTTGGCCTCCATTTGTTTTCTAGCAAGCCAAAGTCTGAGTGGAAAAAACCCAAACTGCTTTTCCTCTGACCTCACACAACAATTAACACAGAACACTTCTGTGACCCCAAAATATGTGGGGATTTTCCCCACCAGCAATCAAGCAATCAGTTCTGCAGTGGACACCAACTGGGTGTCCTCTAATTCTATTCAATTCTGACACTACCTGGAGATAGCGTCACATCCCACAGGTTGACAGCTCAGTCTCCAAGACTGCCCCACCTTTAGATGTCAATGGCAAGCCTCAGGTTGTGTCACCTGTGCTTCTGACTGATGGGCTATAAATTGGGGTTCCCTCCACCCCTTCCTTTGGTTCATTTAATTTGTTAGAGCGGCTCCCAGAACTCAGGGAAACATGTTGACCAGTTTATTGACAAGGATATTACAAAGGATACAGATGAAGAGATACATAGGGCAAGGTATGGGGGAAGGGTCGCAGAGCTTCCATGCCCCCTCCGGGTGCACCACCCTCCAGGAACCTCAACGTGTGCAGCTATCCAGAAGCTCACAGAACCCAGTCCTTTTGGGTTTTTAGGCGTGATTGATTAAACCATTGGCCACTGGTGAGCAACTCAACCTGCAGCCCCTCTCCCCTCCCCAGAGGATAGGAGTGGGGCTGAAAGTCCCAACCCTCTAATCCTGCCTTGGTCTTTTTGGGGAGCAGCCCCCATCCTGAATCTACCTAGGGGCTCCAGCCGTCAGTCATTGTCAGCATACACAGGCCATCACTTTGGAGATGCTGAGGATTTTCAGAGTTGTATGCCAGGAAACTAGGGTCAAAAACCAACATATATTTGACAATATCACACAAAAGAAGGGCTTTTCAAAGTTGTAGTTACTTCTGGCAAAAATGTTACAGTACTGAAGTTTCTTCTTTCTGTGGAAGATGGATTTTGCCTTAACTTTCCTGTCCTTCAATTCCACTTTGTTGCCACGCGGCGCGATGGGGATGTTTTCGCACGCTGTGCACAGTACTTGTACCAGATCTCTATGCCAACAAGGCACTATATATTTTTTTTTCTTTGAGACAGAGTCTCATTCTGTTGCCGAGGCTGGAGTGCGGTGGTGTGATCTTGGCTCACTGCAACCTCCGACTCCTGGGTTCAAGTGATTCTCATGCCTCAGCCTTTTGAGTAGCTGGGATTACAGGTGTGCACACCACGCCTGGCTAATTTTTGTTGTTGTTGTTGTTGTAGTTTTAGTAGAGACGGGTTTCAGCATATTGGCCAGGCTGGTCTTGAATTCCTGACCTCAGGTGATCCACCTGCCTTGGCCTCCCAAACTGCTGAAATTATAGGCATGAGCCACCGCACCCAGGCTTAAGGTACTGTTTTTTTTTTTTTTGAAGCAGAGTTTTGCTGTTGTTGCTCAGGCTAGAGTGAAATGGTGCAATCTCAGCTGATCTCAGCTCACTGCAACCTCCACCTCCTGGATTCAAGTGATCCTCACTGCAACCTCTGCCTCCCAGGTTCAAGTGATTCTCCTGCCTCAGCCTCCTGAGGAGCTGGGATTACTGCTGCGTGCCACTAAGCCCGGCTCATTGTTTTTTTTTTTTTTTTTTTCTTTTTTTAGATGAAGTTTTGTTCTTGTTGCAGAGGCTGGAGTGCAGTGGTGTGATCTCCGCTCACCGCAACCTCATGCACCACCATGCCCAGCTAATTTTGTATTTTTAGTAGAGACAGGGTTCCTCCATATTGGTCAGGCTGGTCTCAAACTCCCGACCTCAGGTGATCTGCCTGCCTTGGCCTCCCAAAATTCTGGAATTACAGACATGAGCCACCATGCCCAGCTAATTTTGTATTTTTAGTAGAGACGCAGTTTCACCCATATTGGCCAGGCTGGTCTCAAACCCCTAACCTTGGGTGATCCACTCAATTCAGCCTCCCAAAGTAAGTGTGAGCCACTACGCCCAGCCCAATCACATTTCTAAATGGATGTCCGTGCTTCATGCCTATCCAATGAAGTCTCCATATAAGGCCAAGAAGGCCAGGCTCACGCCTGTAATCCCAGCACTTTGGGAGGCCGAGGCGGGTGGATCACGAGGTCAGGAGTTTAAGACCAGACTGGCCAACATGGTGAAACCCCATCTCTACTAAAAAATACAAAAATCTGCTGGGCATGGTGGCTCGTGCCTGTAATCCCAGCTACTCGGGAGGCTGAGGTAGGAGAATTGCTTGAACCGGGACTGTGGAGGCGGAGGTTGCAGTGAGCTGAGATCGAGCCATTGCACTCCAGCCTGGGTGACAGAGTGAGACTCCATCTCAAAAAAATAAAAAAAAATAAATAAATACATAATGCATTGTAAATACTGTATTTTCTCTTTAAGAAGATTTTATTGTGATAAAAATGCACACAATTCGCCATTGTATTTTATGTGTACAGTTCAGTGGCGTTACGTACATTCACATCGTTGTGCAAACAGCACCATCGTCCATCCCGGAACTTGTTCATCTTCCCAAACTGAAACTCCAGATCCATTCAACAATAACTTCCTTCCCCAGTCCCCCCAGCCCCTGGCAACCTCTTTTATTTTCTGTTCCTGTGAATTCAGCTATTCCAGGTACTTTAGTGAAGTGAAATTGTGGCCGTATTTGCAAACAATCTATCACCTACTTGTTTTTTGTTTTGTTTTGTTTTGTTTTGTTTTGTTTTGTTTTTGAGACAGAGTTTGACTTTTTTTTTTTTTTTTTTTTTTTTTTTGATATGGAGTCTCACTCTGCTACCCAGGCTGGAGTGCAGTGGCGCTATCTCAGCTCCCTGGAACCTCCGCCTCCTGGATTCAAGCAACTCTCCTGCCTCAGCCTCCTGAGTAGCTGGGATTATGGGCACCTGCCACTGTGCCCTGCTAATTTTTGTATTTTTAATAGAGACAGGATTTCACCATCTTAGCCACGCGGTCTCGAACTCCTGACCTCATGATCCACCCGCCTTAGCCTCCCATAGTGCTGGGATTACAGGCATGAGCCACCACGCCTAGCTGGAGTTTCATTCTTATTGCCCAGGCTGGAGTGCAGTGGTGCGATCTCAGCTCACTACTACCTCCATCTCCCGGATTCAAGTGATTCTCCTGCCTCAGCTTCCCGAGTAGTCGGGAGTACAGGTGTGTGCCACTGCACCCAGTTGATTTTGCATTTTTAGTAGAGACAGGGGTTTTGCCATGTTGCCCAGGCTAGTCTCGAACTCCTGACCTCAGGTGATATGCCCTCCTCAGCCTCCCAAAGTGCTGGGATTACAGGTGTGAGCCACTGAGCCCGGCCATGGCTTTTTTTTGTTTTGTTTTGTTTTGTTTTGAGATAGAGTTTCGTTCTTGTTGCCCAGGCCAGAGTGCAATGGTGCGATCTCGGCTCACTGCAACCTCTGCCTCCTGGGTTAAAGCGATTCTCCTGCCTCAGCCTCCGGAGTAGCTGAGATTACAGTTGCCTGCCACCATGCCTGGCTAATTTTTGAATAGTAGTAGAGATGGGGTTTCCATGTTGGCCAAACTGGTCTCAAACTCCTGACCTGGTGATCTGTCCACCTCGGCCTCCCAAAGTGCTGGGATTACAGGCATGAGCCTCCGCACCCAGTATGGGGGAAACTTTTAAAGATGGCAGTTACCGTCCATGATGCTGAAGAAGCTAGGACTTCTTGGAGGTCAAGATGCCAGCCTTCCTGATTCTTCAATATTAGAATCCAGTATGAAGGGCTGGGCACGGTGGCTGACACCTGTCATCCCAGCACTTTGGGAGGCCGAGGCAGGCGGATCACTTAAGGTCAGGAGTTCAAGACCAGCCTGGCCAAGATGGTGAAACCCAGTCTCTACTAAAAATACAAAAATTAGCCAGGCGTGGTGGCAGACACCTGTAGTCCCAGCTACTTGGGAAGCTGAAGCAGGAGAATCACTTGAACTGGGGAGGTGGAGGTTGCAGTGAGCTGTGAGCAGAGACTGAGCCACTGCACTCCAGCCTGGGTGACAGAGAGAGACTTCATCTAAAAAAAAAAATAAGAATCTAGTATGAAGGAGATGTGGTGAGTTAGAGAGTACAGGGCTTTGGATTCCAGTATGATGGTGATGGGGATGGGGGACGGGGGCCAAGCTGACCCTCCCAGTTGCAGGCCTGTGGGAGGGCTCCCTCAGGCCTCCCAGATCCTGTGTGCCACAGCAGCTGGCCTGCAGCAGTGTCCCCCATCAGTCTGAGGCGCCCACCATGTCCTGCCTTGTCATGCGTGCCAAGATGAATGCTAAATGTGGAGATTCTTACTCAGTGCTGGATTCCGCGCCTTCTGGCATTCAATACTAGCCTAGTTTTTAATAAAAAAGAAACAACACTATTTTGGTGCCGTAAACCTATTTTTCACCATCTGGCATCCCTTATGCCTCTTATGTTTCCTCTTCTAGGTCAGCAAAAATCCCATGATGGTACCAGAACCTCCCTACCAAGGAGGATGTTCTCATAGATTCCCAGAGACAAGGTACCTCTCTTCAGGTTGCATCCACTTAACTTTGAATAACAGACTCCCAAAAAACCTCTTTCTATAAATGCCAATAGAACAAAATGAAAGTTTAGTTCACGGAAATTAACATAAAAATGAAGGTTTGATTTTTTTTTTTTTTTTTGCATAACAGATGATGGTAATCTTAAAATACTCGACAGATGAAAGAGGAAGCAAAACCACTCCTTCTGTCTGAGAGAATTGTGCAATGATGGCCAAAAGCAGTCCTCTGCAATTTCTTTGGGAGGTGACAAAGGAACAGAAGGCACTGGGGGAACCAATGGGCAAATTAGTTTAATTAGTCAAATTAACTTAATTAGCAAAAATAATTCTCTTTGGAGCAGGCTTTGAATAAATCTGTGATAATTTTGTGATTCTGTGAATTTTCTGGAATATGTGTATGTGTGCATGTTGGGTGCATGCTCATGTGCAATCATTCGTGTGCATGTGTGTGCCTGAATGCATGGGGGTGGACCCAGGTTTTGTGGTCCCTGAAGATTATACAATTTTGAATCACCCTTTAAAAAAAGGAACTCAGGCCGGGTGCAGTGGTTCATGCCTGTAATCCCAGCACTTTGGGAGGCTGAGGCAGGAGGATTGCTTGACCCCAGGAGTTCAAGACCAGCCTGGGCAAAATAGCGAGATTTCATCTCTATTTAAAAGAAAAAAAATTTTTAACAAAAATGTTTTTAAAACCACAAAACGTGAATCCAAAATTAGGTAGGAGAGGGAGGCCTATTTAGGTTTAGGAAGAAAACACAATTCACAATATTTTCTTCTTTTTTTTTTTTTTTTTTTTTGAGACAGAGTTTCGCTCTTGTTACCCAGGCTGGAGTGCAATGGCGCGATCTCGGCTCATCGCAACCTCCGCCTCCTGGGTTCAGGCAATTCTCCAGCCTCAGCCTCCCGAGTAGCTGGGATTACAGGCGCGCACCACCATGCCCAGCTAATTTTTTGTATTTTTAGTAGAGACGGGGTTTCACCTTGTTGACCAGGATGGTCTCGATCTCTTGACCTCGTGATCCACCCGCCTTGGCCTCCCAAAGTGCTGGGATTATAGGCGTGAGCCACCGCACCCGGCCCACAATATTTTCAAAGCTGAAGAATATCTCCAATTTCATGTAATTCAGGAAACTAACAAAGTTGTGTTTAACTGCTTAACAAACCTCGATGGCACTTCTTCCTCCTATAACTTTTGGCTGCATACTCTTGGATCATCTTTTTTTTTCTTTTTTCTCTCCCCCTGCCCCCTCCACCTTTTAATATGGCCACAATTTTATAATATTTTCTAGGGAGAGGATAGAAAGATAGTTCAGTTTTTACACTTCATCTTAGCCAAAAGGCCGAGAAGTAATGATCATTCAGGTTTTGGCTGGCCAGGCGCAGTGGCTCATGCCTGTAATCCCAGCACTTTGGGAGGCCAAGGTGGGTGGATCACCCGGGGTCAGGAGTTCAAGACCAGCCTGGCCAACATGGTGAAATCCCGTCTCTACTAATAATACAAAAATTAGCCGGTCATGGTGGCACGTATCTTTAATGTCAGCTACTCAGGAGGCTGAGGCAGGAGAATCGCTTGAATCCGGGAGGGGGAGGTTGCAGTGAACTGAGATGGCACCACTGCACTCCAGCCTGGTGACAGAGCCAGACTCTGTCTCAAAAAAAGAAAGAAAGATAATTCAGTTTTTGTGCTACCATGGTTGATAAAAATTTGGTTTTCAGTACTGATAATTTAGAAAACTTTCAGCTTCACATTTTCATAATAATTCTGTGCATATTTTTAGGATTGCTGTCAAATTTGGGAAAACCTCGATCAAGTTTCTTTCATATAAAAGCTGTAAATTGGCAGGGCGTGGTGGCTCACGCCTGTAATCCAAGCACTTTGGTGGCCAAGGTGGGTGGATCGCCTGAGGTCAGGAGTTCAAGACCAGCCTGACCAACATGGTGAAACCCCATCTTAAAAATAAATAAATAAATAAATAAATAAATAAATAAATAAATAAAAGCTGTAAATTTTCAGGGCATATCAAGGTTTCATGTTCAGGAGCCAACCTTAAATACTCTAAATTGGCAATACTCATGAACCAATTTGACTTCTGTGTCTTGCTGTAGAGGCTTATTATGAGATTTATGTTATCTTTTTCGATGTCTGTATTTTAGTAAAATCTGCTCAAAATGTAAATGTTTTCCTACTATGTTCATATATTTCACTTCTTTTATGAAGTAAATTATTTAACAATCCAAGAGCCCATATATTACGTCTATTCAAAATTTGTCTCTGATCTGAAAAAAAAATTTGGTACAATTTACTTCTCGGATGTCAGAATCGTTTCTATTGGTTATATATAGAAATATTTGAAAAATTCCATCATATAGTGAGTTTGCAATTATATTACTGCATTATTGAATATATATGTGTGTGTGTGTATGTATATATATATACATACACACACACATATATATATATACACACATATATATACACGTATATATATATATTTTTTTGGAGACAGGGACTCACTCACTCTATCGCCCAGGTTGGAGTGCAGTGGTGCAATCATAGCTCACTGCAGACTTGACTTCCTGGGCTCAAGCACTCCTCCCATCTCAGCCTCCCCAGTAGCTGAGACTACAAGCATGCACTGCCACACATGGCTATTTATTTATTTATTTATTTAGGGATAGGATCTCCCTATGTTGCCCAGGCTGGCCTCAAAGTCCTGAGTTCAAGTGATCCTCCTGCCTCATCTTCCCAAAGTGCTGGGATTACACGCATGAGCCACGATACATAGACTGATTATATTAGGAAAAACTTTCATTTTGATCTCCCTACAAGTTTTTGCATTTGATGGTTGGAAGAATTTTCCACTGATTAACTTCTGATTCTGTACATTTCAAACCTTGCTGTTTCTCCACCAGCCCAGGGCAGTTCAGATCATCCCTGGAAGTCATTCCTATCCCAGGATGGCCAATAATAACTACTTGTAAAAACGTATGTGAAAGCTGTATGTGGAAAGTATCCCATTAAAGGCCTCAAAAGGTCTTCTGCAAGTGAGGGGTTCTGAGGGTTAAGCTTCATGAGTTCTGTGTCTGTATGAGTGTGTGAGAGATTTTGGTTTGTTTTTTGAGACGAGTCTCACTTTGTTGCCCAGGCTGGAGGGCAGTGGCACGATCTTGGCTCACTGCAGTCCCTACCTCCCAGGCTCAAGGGATTCTCCTGCTCAACCTCCCAAGTAGCTTGGATTACAGGCACCTGCCACCGCACCCGGCTAATTTTGTATTTTTAATAGAGACAGGGTTTCACCATGTTGGTCAGGCAGGTCTGGAACTCCTGGCTTCAAGCGATCTGCCCACCTCAGCCTCCCAAAGTGCTGGGATTACAGGAGTGAGCCACTGCGTCCAGCCCCAAGGGTTTTGTATGGTTGGTGTTTTTTGTTTTTAAACCACACCTGCTGAAATGAGATTGTTTTCTTTTTCAAAAATTAACAGGGGCAGCAGGGCGCAGTGGCTCACGCCTGTAATCCCAGCGCTTTGGGAGGCCGAGGCGGGTGTATCACCTGAGGTCAGGAGTTTGAGACCAGCCTGGCCAAAGTAATGAAACCCTGTGTCTACTAAAAATATAAAAAATTAGCCAGACGTGGTGGCACGCGCCTGTAGTCCCAGCAACTCGTCAGGCTGTGGCAGGAGAATCGCTTGAACCCCAGAGACGGAGGTTGCAGTGAACCGAGATCGCGCCGCTGCACTCCAGCCTGGGTGACAGAGACTTCAAAAACAAAGCAACAGCAACGACAAGGGCCAACAGAATACGAAAGGGCCCAGTGCAGAGAGTTTGGATCTGTGCCTCCGCGTGAGCTCGGACTCCCTGTGACCTTGAACAAATCTCTTACTTCAAGGCTTGTCCACCTTGGTTCCTCCCACCCGAACCCACCTTGCCCCGACCGCCTCATGGGCAATGTGGCCAAGTGGCCTCTAGAGGGCAGCACATCCTCAGTTGGGACGACCCGGCTGCAGTCGGCTCGAGGGCGGAGGCGAGAGCTGCGGCGCGGGCTGCGGTGCGTGCTTGATTGCTGCCGGACTCGTTCTGGGGGACTGTCGGCGCTTTGCGCAGTCGTGCTCCACGCAAGACGACGCCGTCAGCAGGAAATATGTCAACCAGGCTGGCTTCGCGCAAGTGCTGCTTGGTTCCAAACGGATGCACGCAATGGAGCCGGGGCAGAGAGGGCGCCGGCCTCCCTTAGTGAAGTTCAAGTTCGCAGGACGGTTTTCATTACCCACTACCCTCACGGGTCAAGGTCCTCTTGGCTTTGGGTCTAAGTACCTAAGGGAAGTAAGAAAGAGCTCTCAGGTCTGGCAGCTGTGGGCTGGGTGATGTGACCACGGGGCTGGCAGTGTCACTGACTTCACACAGAAACACACGGTAGGAACCCGGGACTCAGCACATGGCCCCTGCAGAGGTGTGTGAGAGGCCCTCCCTGCCACCAGGTCCCCCCTGGCGACTTTGCCACCCCTCAGGCTCCTGAAGCACAGGACACTCCTCTTGATTTCTGGTGTCTGGCACCTGCTGGACATGGGGGTTCATCAGTTGACGCGGGGATGCTTGTGAGCAGATGGAGCCAGGATCCGGGGTGGGCACACCACCTAGACAACAAGGCACAAGGCCTTGGCCAGCTGCTGCTCCCCTAGCACCTATCCTGAAGGGCCTGTACGGGATCTGATGGGGTCTGAAGAGTCCCAGTTTGGGGGTCAGCCTATGCACGGGGAGGGGGCTCACTCTCCCATGGGACATCCTCAGAAGGTGGCTGCCTTCCACCAGGGAGCAGTGGGCATAGCTGATGTTTTCTATTTTGTCTTTGATCCCTGGAACTCAGGGGCAGGAGGAAGCTGAGTGTCCAGGGCTCCTCTCCCACTGTCTGTGGGTAAAGGGGTGGGATGAGGAGACAGAAGCAACGGATTTAGGTGAGAAAAGCATGCTGATGAAATTGACTATTTTCAGCCACTGTCAGCTGTGGCGTGCTAGGCAGAGGGTGTGTGTGCACATCCCTGGAGGAACGGGCAGGGAGAGGCACATTTTTTTTTTTTAATTGAAATGGACTCTCACTCTGTCGCCCAGGCTGGAGTGCAATGGCATGATCTCGGCTCATTGCAACCTCTACCTCCCCGATCCAAGCAATTCTCTGCCTCAGCCTCCTGAGTAGCTGGGATCACAGGTGCCTGCCACTGCACCTGGCTAATTTTTGTATTTTTAGTAGAGACGGGTTTCACCATCTTGGCCAGGCTGGTCTTCAACTCCTGACCTCATGATCCACCTGCCTCAGCCTCCCAAAGTACTGGGATTACATGCGTGAGCCACAGCACCTGGCAAGGCCCATGTTTTAAAAAAAAATTA